TACAAACAGCTGAGAAAAGAAGAGATGTGAGATGAGGAAAAATATACCCCACTGAATGCAGAGTTCCAGAGCACAGTAAGGAGAGATAAGACAGCCTTCTTAAATGAACAATGAAAAGAAAGAGGAAAACAACAGAATGGGAAGGACTAGTGATCTCTTCAAGAAATTTGGAGATACCAAGAGAACATTTCATGCAAACATGGGCACAATAAAGGGCAAAAACAGTACGGACCTAAGAGAAGCAGAAGATATTAAGAAGAGGTGGCAAGAATACATACAAGAACTATACAAAAAGGTCTTAAAGACCTGGATAACCACGATGGTGTGGTCAATCACCTAGAGCCAGACACTTGGAATATGAAGTCAAGTAGGCCTGAGGAAGCATTACCACAAAGCTAGTGGAGGTTATGGAATCCCAACTGAGCTATTTAAAATCCTAAAAGATGATGCTGTTAAAGTGCTGCACTCAGTATGTCAGCAAATTTGGAAAACTTAGCAGTGACCCCAGGACTGGAAATGGTCAGTTTCCATTCCAATTTCAAAGAAAGGCAATGCCAAAGAACATTCAAAGTACCATACAATAGTGCTCATTTCACATACCAGCAAGCTAATGCTCAAAATCCTTCAAGCTAGGCTTCAACAGTACTTGAGAACTTTCAGGTGTACAACTTGGATTTAGAAAAGGCAGAGGAATCAAAGACCAGATTGCCAACATTCCTTGGATCATGGAAAAAACAAGGGAATATCAGAAAAACATCTATTTCTGTTTCACTGACTATGCTAAAGCCTTGGACTGTGTGGGTCACAACAAACTGGAAAATTCTTAAAAGAGATAGGAATACCAGACCACCATACTTGTCTCCTGAGAAACCTGTATGCAGATCAAGAAGCAATAGTTAGAACCAAACATGGAACAACAGACTGGTTCAAAACTGGGAAGGCCGTATGTCAAGGCTGTATGCTGTCACCCTACTTATTTAAATTATATGCAGAGTACATGATGTGAAATATCAGACTGGATGAATCACAAGCTGGAATCAAGACTGCCTGGAGAAATATCAACAACCTCAGATATGCAGATGATATCACTTTAACAGCAGAAAGCAAAGAGGAGCTAAAGAGCCTCTTGATGAATGAGAGAGGAGAGTGAAAAAGCTGGCTTAAATCTCAGTATTCAAAAAACAAAGATCATGGCACTTCATGGCAAATAAAAAGGGAAAAACTGGAAACAATGACAACTTTTATTTTAGGGGGCTCCAAAATCACTGCAAATGGTGAGTGCAGTCATGAAATTAAAAGACGCTTGTTCCTTGGAAGAAAAGCTATGAGGAACCTCCACAGCATATTCAAAAGCAGAGACATCACTTCACTGACAAAGGTCCATATAGTCAAAGCTATGGTTTTTCCAGCAGTCATGTATGGATGTGAGAGTTGGACCATAAAGAAGCTGAGTGGTGAAGAATTATTTGATGCTTTCGAACTGTGGTGCTGGAGAAGACACTTCAAAGTCTCTTAAGATTCCAAGGAGATGAAACCAGTGAATCTTAAAGAAAATCAACCCTGAATATTCATTGGAAAGACTGATGCTGAAGCTGAAGCTCTAATACTTTGGCCACCTGATGCAAACAGCTGACTCACTGGAAAAGATCCTGATGCTGGGAAAGACTGAGGGCAGGAGGAGAAGCGGGCAAAAGAGGATAAGATGGTTAGATAGCATCACCAACTCAACGGACATGAATTTGAGCAAACTTTGGGAGATAGAGAAGGACAAGGAATCCTAGCGTGCTACAGTCCGTGGGGTCACAAAGTGTGGGATGTGACTTGGCATCTGAACAACAACAAATGCCTCAACAATAGAAAACAGTCCAGAATATGAGAAACTTTATGAAGAGTTAGGCCAAAACCAGTAAAGCTGGTCTTTGTTCTAAAGATCTCATAGATGCATCACAAACTCTGAAACTGGTACTAAATGTTTGACCCATTTGAATTTATATACATCTTTTTGCAAAGACAACACAGAATATTTCACTGGTCTTCCTCAGAATTTCATTACGAAATTAGTAGACTATACACAGCAAACAGTTCCATTGAACAGCCCTGCTGCCTGAGAAGATACACACCAGCAGACTTGAAAAAAGGCACACTCAATACCAGCTAGAACTACTTTATGTAACAAAAGAGGCGACACTTCCCGGGAAGCAAGAACTGTCATCTGAAAGAAGACAAATTCAAAGTTAAGTAACAGGACTGTCTCAAACGTCCTAGAATAGAATATGGCATGCATAGCCAGTTCATGGAGAAGGTGAAAGTAGAACATATCAAACGTTCTACAGAGCTAGGAACAAGAAATACAAGTGCAAGCTAGAGGTAAAATGATTCAATCTACAGGCAAACAGAAGTGAGTCAGAAAATAAAATGACAGAGCTATGAGAATGCCAAGCAGCACATAAAAGAACCAGCACAGCCATCTTCAATAGCTACCTTGGTTCCCAATGGCTTTCCCAGCCAAGTAAGTTTACAGCAAATCCCCCTTCTCCTGATATAATCTGGTCTCTGTTGCAGCTCCAAGAGTCCAATCTATGTCATATGTGATTCACTGCTTCCACGTATTTCCCTCTTTCCCTCCACAGAAGATAAATACTATTACTGACTGAACAACAGCTGCCAAGTTCTAAGCCTCCCCTTCCTGTGATAGAGAACTCATCCCTTGTGGTTTGTATGGGGTTGATACTACCTATACTCTTCAAAATTCACAGACTTTCACACTCCCTTTCTGTCACTTATCTCACACACTCCCACCCTCACACTTGCCCATACGCTTTCTCTCAAGCGCACTTTCCTACACACTTTCCACTCAAGAGTATCACAGTGACTGTGCAACTCATGTCCAGGCAATCAGAATACCCATCTCACTAGCTTCAATTATTTGTTCAGACCCATGAACCAGGCCCCCAGTAAACCAATCCAAGTTCTGTCCACGACATTCATTCAGGAGTATCAGAGGCCAAGCCGCCAGCCAACTGAAGAAACATCTCCTGAACAGCACAGCAGATCCTAAAGACAACGAGAACTTGTAGCCACACCATTCTTGAGATTCAGGGCCAAGTCATGCTCTTCCCTGGAACTTGAGAGCACAAGTCCCGAAGGAGTCCTCATACATACTTCTAAAGCTCTGAAGACTTACAGCAGACCAGGGAACTCTGCATATCTCCAGTACCATATGTAGGAGTAGGAACTTCTAGTACATTTGCTTTCTAATCTTAAGAATATAAAATAATGTGAGGAGCTAGTTAAGAATCCAAAATTAAAAAAACAAAAAAGACTACAATTGCCCCTGCCAGCCTTCCCAAAGATCCTTCAGAACTAGCACAAAAAGGAACAGACCCTCTCACTATTTCAAGTTTTAAAAACTAACATATTTTCCCAGCAAAAGAGGACTTTTGATATGAGCTAAGCATACATTCACACAATTCAACAGCACTTCCAGCACTTCTCTCTGTCATTTACTGTCTGCCTCTCTAATAGGTGTATTTAGAGTAGAAACCAGATGGGTCTTGCTTCCAGCACCTGGCATATGGCAGGTGTGTTGTAATAGTCTAAACATGAGTGAATGTCAGATGCCCACTCAACTCACCCATTCCACAAGTCACATATTACTCTTGACTAACAGCCTGGTATCTGAAAAGCACTCTGCTGGGCACTACATGAGCCACAAAGATCAGCTATGAACCAGTCCTCAAAAATGTGGACACAGACTCTTTTTGACTTTCTGATGAAAATATGGGCACTCTATCCAGAAAAATACCTAAATTGACTAAGATTTTGCATTAAATTTCAATGAATTCCCAAGAAAGAATTTCAGATCTAGTAGGATAAATAAGAAAACAAAACACATGTACACATCAAAATACTATGATCCTTTGTTGATTCTTATATTCTAAGAGAGATTTAAGTAGAAAAGTGATTAAGATACAGGGATAAGACCAAACAAATCTGCCAATAACTTCAGAAAATAATCATAAGTTGGGAGAACCTCTGTGTAAAAAAACCACTGGGATTAAGGTCTGCAGTATGAAAACATAAACCACTGATGAATTCGCACACAAATTCCAGGGTTCTCAATACACAGGCATATTGAGATAGAAAATTTCTTATTATGAGTAAAGAAAAAGGAAATAATATCAATCCAGTATGGTCATGAAAAGCTTCCTGAATGTCTCCTAGGTTTTAAAAATTTCTCTCATATCTTGCTTTACTACTTCACTGGTTTAAGTGTTTTATAACTATAATTAGGGACCATTAAATTTCTTAAAACATTAATAATAACTAAAATTACATGTGGGAGTGGAAAGAATAAACATATGGCAATACAGCCCATACTGTGAAATTGAGAAGACTTTCCTCTTATACCATAAGGCTTCAACCAGACCATCATTAACCTCCTAGGAACAGCATACAGTCTAAGAGGAGATAACCATGCATTCAAATGCCAATAAATAATAATCCACAATAAACAAGTTTTCTCCAACTGTAATAATAAAAACACTCCAAAATCTTCCAGTAAACAGAAATCCTCAAAAGTGCAACTGACCTCATTTTACTTTCTATTTCTCCAAATGCAATCAATTAAAAAATTAGTTTCAACTGCTACTGAACTAAAGTTTTTCTGAGTTTTGGACCCCTTCCCAAAAAAAGAATGGTACATCCTTACAATTGTTAGGGAAGGTCAGAACGAAAGGCAGCAAGTTAAACTAGATGCCTAGCACATTATCAACTGTTAGCATTAGAAGTAACCTGAGAAATTATTCAGAATCAATCCTTTCTTTCACTTAAGGAAGTCAAGGCATGGCAAAAGTAAGACCAGTAAAAGTTGAGAGTTGTCTTCAAATTCATGGAGCAGATAATAGGCCAAATGAGATCATATCAGTATCATAAAATATAATATATAATATATATTTAGAACATATAAATTAAGTTTAGTAACAAATCTAAGTACTTACATTAAGAAGTAACTCATCTTTTGTTTTAAGAGGAAAATTCTTATTTTCCTTCTCAACTAGTAAGTCATCTTCTCCATCTGACAGAACTGGAGGAAGGGACATATGAGAGGAAGACGACGAGGATGATGATGAGGAAGAGGAGGAGCTTGAACTATCAGTATCTGTTTCACTATAGAGAAGAAAAAGTTGAAAACAATACAAAAGCATTATTACAATGGTATTAAAACATGATTATTCAACTAGAAAATATCTGCTTTACTAGATGTTTATGGTTGCTGGTATAATTCAAAAGCTAGCATCTTGAAATTGACTATGGTGTTTGGAAAACACTCTAATCCACTGATCACAAAACCCCTGCTCTAACTCAAACCCTCTTTTTACAACTGCTCTTATGTCATGCATCAGTCTGAGGCATGTGACAAATCACTGACCGAAAAGAATCCTGGGCCAGGCACTTGTCTTATTAGTTTCCAAGGATCAGATCAAAGCAAAGAGACTTTCTTCTCAGTCTTCAATTTGGAAACTTTTCCAAGTTACCATCCATGCTAAACACTCCACTCTCTGAAAACCCCTTTAGCCCTTGATTTCCGCAACAATTCTCAGAGCAAAAAACTATCCTCTTAGCTTGGATTGTTTGCTGGTACCCTCTTCAGCTCCTGTTATGTGCTTTTTCTACAAGTCCCATACTCATGTTCTCTTCTCTCCAGTACTCTTTCCAAGTATGACCTCCAATGAGTTCAATCATTGCCGATGTGCAGATAACTGCTAAATCTTCAGTCTTGATATTCCTAAGCTCCACCCCTAAACTCTTAATAACTGCCGAATTAATGACCTACACATTCACAAGTTAAAAACAGTGCATTCTCCCTACTAATTCTGTTTCTCTCTTTCAGTTTCTATTGCATTTAATTGTTTAGTCCTGAATCCTCACTAGAAGTAGAAACCTTGGAACTGTATCAAAGTATTGCATGCTCAGTCAGTGATGAAACTGGTAAACATGACTCCTATTCCACTAGAAAAGTCTAAATACAGAGTGCTACTAGCTGACATTAAGGGATTAGGGTTCGCTCTACTACAGCATGGTTGTTATCTAAAAAGTATTTTATCAGAAATGCACAGTAAAGAATTTACAGGAAGGTGGCATGCTGTCTGAGACTTGTTTTAAAACTATCAAGTTAAAAGAAAAAGTTAGAAATGTTAGGTAAAACAAAGTTAAGGGGACTTCCCTGGTGCCCCGGTGATTGGGAATCCACCTGCCAATGAAGGGACATGAGTTCAGTCCCCTGCCCAGGAGGATCCCACAGGCTGTGGAGCAAGTAAGCCCAGTGTACCACCACTGCTTAGCTTGCACACCTACAGTCCGCACTCCACAGGAGGCCACCACAATGAGAAGCCCACCTACCACAATCAAGAGCAGCGCCCCCCAACCTCGCCTAACTAGAGGAAAGCCATGCCTGCACAACAGCCAAAAATAACGAAATAAAGCTAGGAAATAATGGAAACTGTGAAACTCGGTGATGGCTATGTGTACATTCATTATATTACTGAGTTTGAAAATGTCCACAATAAAAAGTTTGAAGTACAGAGGGTGGGATAGGGTGGGAGGTGGGAGGGAGGTTCAAGAAGGAGGGGACAAATGTTTACCTAGGACTGATTCATGTCAATGCACGGCAGAAACCAGCCAACACAACATTGTAAAGCAATTGTCCTTCAATTAAAAGTAAATAAATTTAAAAATATGAATTAAAAAAAAGGTTAAAGTAAGTTTTACCTGTAATCTGATGTTCAAATTTACATTTCCACACCAGAACTGTCCTCCTACTGCTTTCCTGACATCTCCAATTTGTTGACAGTGAAATCTCAAATTAACTCTCTAAATTTAACATTCCTATTGGTTTACAGCCCCCATCCCAGAAAGGTTTCTCCCCATCTCAGTAAACAGCACCGCCATCCACCCAGTTGATAAAAAAAGCTACGCAAAGCAGGTAGTAATAGCTGAATCACTTTCCCCTAATTTCACGAAAAATTCATCACCAGAGAAATTCTACAAACTAACAAAACTGTCAGGAGTCAATCTGAAAAGAGAGAAAACCCTTTATCTGATGCTCCATTTATCTGGTTCAACCAGCAAGAGTACACACTAAACTTGAGAAAAAGATTTGCCACAAACTTTAAATTATAACCCCAAGGACACACCACGTCGAGTGGTCACGGGAATAAGCCCCCAGTCTCAGGTTTTCTACATTCTAACTGAAAACGACAAACTGTCCACAGAGGACTCTCGGACCCCCAGCCTCAGAGGAGGGGCCCCGACGGCCACGATCCCTCCCAGGGGCACTGCAGGGGCAGCGAGGGATGCGCCCCGGCTTCCGGGCCCTCCCGCCTCCTCGGCCCAGGCTTCCCGCTACCAGAGCCACCCCGCGCCCCCGGCCGCCAGGGGCACGACCTGTCCGAGTCCGAATCTGAGTCGGAGTCCGAGTCCGACGTCTCCAGGCCGCTCCCTTCCGGAGGCGGCCCCGGGAGCGACAGCGGCAGGAGCTGAGGCGACGGTTCGGCCGCAGACTCCGGGGGCCCCTCGTCCGCCGGCGGCGCTGCGACCGGAGCGGGGTCCGGAGCCGGCGCGGCCAGATCTTGGCCAATTCCGACGCCGGCGCCACCGAATTTCAGTGTCTGCAGCTGAGCGGCGGCGGCCTCCACCACCTCCATGGCGCAAACTTAGGACGCTCGCGCCGGGAGACGCACCACCTGGCCGACAGCGGCTGCGGAAAAGAAGCACAACCCCGCTTCACGCGCTGCTCCGGTAACCACACGCGGAGCCGTCAACAGACGCGCTTCCGCAGCAGACGCAGCGGCACTTCCGGGCAGCGTGTGACGTAACGGGACGCACCGGCGAACCCTGGAAGCGGGGCGGTCCAAGGCCTTTGCACGCGGAACCGCGCGGTCCTAAAGCCACTGGTTTCCCTGCGTCCTGGGAAACGGAGCTCACTCTGAGAGGCCTGGTGGACAGAGTTTCCTGCTGCTAGGTCTGGGGCAGTTACACGGAGGCTGAGATGGGAAGGAGATATGGCAGAACTGGGAGACGCCTGATGGGGCGAGGCCCTGCACATTGGAAACTTGAGTCACGAAGCCTTGAACCAACACTTACAGGAAACTTTATTAAAGTTAAATGGAGTTACAGCCGTGGATAGGCAACAAACACAATGACTGTAAGGCATAGTTCCGGCAAGGCAGAAAAGGAAAGACGACCTCAACAGAAGTAGGTTACCTTTATTCAGGCAAGGAGGGGCGACAGTCGGCCTAACGACCAGGCTGAGAGCCGAAAGGGATCAGGGAGACTTCATACTTATAGGGAGGTTTGTGGAAGTAATAAGGGAAACGTCAATCGGGCGGGATATTTTGAGTATTCTTTTGTTGAGATGACACCTGTAGTTGAGCAGGGGGTGATAAGTCTTCTGGGTGGGTGTAGGGGGTGGTAGGTTTCCGGACAGGGGGTGATAAGTCCCAGATAGATGTAACCAGCCTGGAGCATCAGGATGGAACTAAAGTTATGCTTTGTTTTCTCCGCAGTTAGATGATTCAGCAAGGGGCCTTTGAGACTGTTGTTCTCTTTTCTAGGCTCAGAAGACTTCAATGACCATCCACCCCCAAAATTACGGCTCATATTTTAGTTTGTTTTCTCCAAAGCGCTCCCAATTTAAAGAGCACTAATCGTGGGGGAAACATATTGCTGTCTGTTGATGTTTTAGTTGACACTTTCGTAGAAAGGGTGGAATGGGGTTGAAATGACTAAAGGCCTGAGAAACCATTACTCTAGGTCTTAAGAGGGGCAAGCAAGAAGTTCTTAAGATTGAAGAAGAGATAAGAATTTTCCTGTTTTTCTGTTAGAACCTCAATTTGATGTATTAGCCCCTCAGGTAACAATAAATAGTAATCATTGTGACCATTTAGTAAGCGCGCATATGTGCCAAGGACTGTGCCTAAGACACTATCAGTGTTCACGCAGTTTCATTATGTGCTCTCCATTGTACCAGACCTTCATAGAACCTATGACAAGAATAATATATTGTCTCTGGTTTTAAGGAGTTTACCGTTTGACTGAAATAAAAAGGTCAATGCACAGGAGATAGAGATAGTTGAAATGTGAAATAGAATTTGCTAGTTCAGCGGTGATAGAAAATTAAAGACTGACAAGATGTATCATAGAACTCTTCCAAGCAGAAGCAGGAATTTAAAATCCAGGTAATACTTGCTAATACAGTGATTAAGCACAAATTAAGCTCAGTATGTCCAGCTGAATTGACCTGTGTTTGAATCTTAGCTCTACTATTGCCATGTTGGTGTAACTGATTTGGAAAGAAAGCCTGACATAACTTTCATTTTCCTTATCTATAAAATGGAGGTAAAAATACTATCTCAATTTTGTTGTTGTTCAGTTGCTCAGTCATGCCTAAGCTCTTTGCAACCACATAGACTCCAGCAGGCCCGGCTTCCCTGCCCTTCACTGTCTCCTGGAGTTTGCTCAAACTCATGTGCACTGAGTCAGTGATACAATCCAACCATCTCATCAATGTCTCCCCTTTCTCCTCTGCACTCAGTCTTTGCCAGCATCAGATTCTTTTCCAATGAGTCAGCTCTTCACATCAGGTGGCCAGAGTATCAGAGCTTCAGCTTCAGCATCAGTCCTTCCAATGAAAATTCTGGGTTGATTTCCTTTAGGATTGATTGGTTTGATCTCCTTGCAGTGCTAGAGACTCTCAAGAGTCTTCTCTAGCACCAGAGTTCAAAAGCAATAAATTCTTCCCCTCTCAGCCATCTCTTATGGTCCAACTCTCACATCCATACAAGACTACTGGAAAAACCATAGCTTTGACTAGACGGACCTTTGTGCGCAGAGTGATTGCTGTCTCTGCTTTTTAATATGATGTCAAATTTCCTCATAGTTTTTCTTCCCAGGAACAAGCATCTTTTAATTTTGTGGCTACAGTCACCATCTGCAGTGATTTTGGAGCCCAATAAAATAAAATCTGTTGCTGTTTCCAACTTTTCCACATTTATTTGCTATGAAGTGATAGAACTGGATGCCATGATCTTAGTTTTTTGGATGCTGACTTTTAAGCCAACTTTTTCACTCTCCTCTTTCACCTTCATCAAGAGGCTCTTTAGTTCCTCTTTGCTTTCTGCCATTTAGGGTGGTGTCATCTGCATATCTAAGTTTATTGATATTTCTCCAAGAAATCTTCATTCCAGCTTGTGATTCATCCAGCCAGGCATTTTGCATGATATACTCTGCATATAAGTTAAATAAGTAGGGTGACAATATATAGCCTTGAAGTTCTCCTTTCACAATTTTGAACTAGGCTGTTGTTCCAGGTCTGCTTCTAACTGTCGAATCTTGAGCTGCATACAGGTTTCTCACGAGGCAAGTAATGTGGTCTGGTATTCCCATCTCTTTAAGAATTTTACAGTTTGTTGTGATCCACACAGTCAAGACTCAACTATCCATTTAGTTCATATGAATATTAATTAAGGTTTTATACAAAGGAATAGCATGTGCCATATACATGTTTAGTGCACAAAATTCCATGGAAAATAAAATAATACATGGATATGAATAAAATGATGCTTCACTGATGATGCTCTTGCAGATATGTGCAGTATAATTTTAAGCAGAGAAAAAATTTGGATCAGAGAGATCCTCCAGTTAGCCAAAAAAGTCTTGAGTTTTCCAGGAACTGGGTGTCAAAAGTCTTAATGAATGATACAGTCAGTGAAACAGAGTAAAGGAAATCCAGAGCACCAGAAGAATCAAAGTCCTCTAAACTGTCTAACTGAGAAAACTGGCAAGAAGTTGGCATTACTAATAACCATGAAGGACTTAGACAAGATAATGAGTTTGTGATGTTGAATTTGAAGAAGAACTGGACAATTGAAAACTACCCCATAGTCTTTGAGAGGAGTTGAATGAAAGGTCAAGACCAGAAGCCTAGGTTTGGGAGCAATCCAGATGCCTATTTTTTCACTCAGTGATCATTCACTGACTAGTGTGCCCGTGCTCACATCATGAACTGGGCAGATAGAAAGGTGATTTAAACACAGGCCCTGCCATTTAGTTAACAATTTAGTAGAAAAGACAAGTTGAAAACAATGGATAAGTACTTTAGTAGAGAACTGTATTGTAGCACAGGCATGCACTACAGAAGAGAGATAAACCAAAGGAATACTAAACAGAAAACGATAGAGAGTAAAGAAGGCTTTACAATGAGCATGGCGAATTAACTGGAATTTTAAAGAGAACCAGGAATCGAAGAAAGTGGAAGATGTCATATTGATGTTGATGTGAAAGAAATGACTGATATTTCTTCAGCAAGATGGATCAGGATCGGCAGAGAATTGCATTTCTGGATCTGCAAAAAAGGCAAAATGGTTGTCTAAGGAGGCCTTACAAGTAGCTGAGAAAAGAAGAGACACCAAAAGGAACATATTTCAATCCATAAGAGGAGGAAGTTATATGAAATTCATTTTCCAGACCTTGAATTGTCCATTGAAGTGAAGTGAAGTGAAGTCAGTCAGTCGTGTCTGACTCTTTGCAACCCCATGGACTATAGCCTACAAGGCTCCTCTGTCCATGGAATTTTCCAGGCAAGAGTACTGGAGTGGGTTGCCATTTCCTTATCCAACTCTTAGAGCACAGTTTGGCAATGTATCTGATGAGTAAACATAAGGAAAGTGGAAGTTTTTCTAACATGGGTCCGCCTGTCTCCTTTCTTTTTGCAAGTGAATAAATCTAAGAATAACCTAGCCTAGCAAAGAGTGCCATACATAATCTTGTCAGATATTACTCCTTCAAAGGCTTCACAATGATCCTAAAATAAAGAACAAAAACTACTAAGGTGGCCTTCACCTACCTCTCTCCAGACCTCTCTCTTCCCATTTCCTCCTCTCTGCTGGTGGCACTCAGCACAGGGGTTTATTTTCACTTTTTCTATCACGTTGCTTCCCAGTTAAGGTCAACTATATGCATTCTTTTCTCTGCTTCCAATAATCTCTGAATTTAAGCTCTTTAATTTACACATTCAGTTTTCTAAAAATTCTTTGGTTTATTATGTCAGATATAGATTTGGATAGTTCTAAATATTAATTTTCAAACAGTTTAACTGAGGTATAATCTACAAACCATAAATTCATCCTTTTAAGTATACGATTCAACGATTTTTATGAAGTTGAAAAGGACTGTGCCAACATCACCACAAAGAGACCTTTCATGCCGTGTTTGCAGTCTATCCCTGCCCCAGGTAAACAATAATCTGCTCTGTCTCTACAGATTTGTTTTCCGACAGTTCATGTAAATAGAATCATGTAATATGTGATGCTTCTAACTTATACCTTCCACTTAGCATAATATGTCTGAGGTTTGTCCATGCTGTAGTAAGTAGCACCACTATATTCCCTTTTAATGACAAATAGTATTCCACTAACCAGATGCAGAGCATTTTATATACCCATTCATTGGACAATTTCCAGTTTTAGGCGACTATGGATAGTGCTACTAAGAAAGAACATCTGTGTACCGTCTCTGTATGCACGTTTTCATATTTCCTTGGTAAATATATAAAAGCAGAATTACTGGGTTACATCATAAAATTTTAAGAAACTGCCAAACCATTTCCTAAAGTGGCTCTATTTATATCCGTACCACAAATATTTGACAATCCCAGGTGTCAACAAATCCTAATCAACACTTGTTATTTTCTACCTTTTTTGACTATAGCTATTTTTCAAAATTTGTTTTTAATCAAAGTAACATTGGTTTATAGCACCATGTGTCAT